CCCCATGAGTCGGGGGGTGGGAGACACACCGAGGTTCCCGGTGCCTGGGGCTCCAGGCGCTCTCATTGCGGCTCCTGTCCGGGAATCGAGAAGACACGCAACGCCCGGCGCAGAAGGCGATCCCGCCCTTGACTCGGGTCTTTGGTCTTCTGGATCGCACGACCACCGAGGACAAGGCTTGTGAGAACAGGGGAGGGGGGATGTAAAGGGAAGAAGGGGAATGAACGGGTCTTGTTTCGGGAGATCTTCGCGATAATGTAATGCTCGGGAACGTGCCGGACCTCCCAGATAATGTTGGTCTCGTGTTGGCTCTGCAGGTCAGGACTGATGGGAGTTGTAGTGCAGGAGCATCTGGAGGGACCCACGCTCGGGGTCCCACCCACCCCCTCTGTGGTATAAATGGATGGGACCATTAAGAAACGCATCTCAAAAGCTCCTTTTGAAAGTCACAGGACCCCCCCCCTTTTTTTTTTAAAGGTGTTGATTAATGTAAATAATTTAAACCGTGGGAGGATCTTTGCTTTAGAGATAGTGGAGGAGACAAAAACTATCTCCCAGACATATTCCCTGGAAGGAAGCGGAAGATACTCTCAATTTAAATGGGAACAGGATTGCAAGGTAATTAACGGAGTTGTAATGAGGGTGGAGAAAGCGGGACTGTGACCCAGGGCATCGGATTTTAGGAGGCACTAAATTGTGATGCTGGAAAGGCATCAATCCAGTCCATCCAGGAGCAGGCATCGCCTCCTAACCGGTTCAGCGCTGAACCCCACGTGACTGTCACCCCTTCTTCACCCCAGGCCTCCTTCCCCATCCTTCCTTCCTCAATCCAAGGATGCTCCATGAAGCCAGGCTTAACTAATCAGGCAGCAAAAATTGCTGGCTGCCAAAGTGAGTACTGTAGTTACAAGTTCTCCTAATTAACCTGAAATATTTTTAATCCCTCATTCTGTTACTTCCTGTTTGGGGTGTGGCATCTTCTCCCCAGAGATCCAAATACTGTACTGGGAAATCTGTGATGCTCTGCACTAAGGTGTGAAGAACTTCAGGTCTTAGCCTTAAACCCATCCTTCCCAACACAGGCCTCTGGGGTTTCCCACACGGCCATAACTCCCAAATGACACCACGTTTTGATGGCTTCTCGACTTCTCCACAGTCACTCCCCCCCCCACACTCCCCTTCAAACAGGTTGAAATTAAAGAGCTTTCCTAAGATTCCCTTCCTAGCAGTGACAGCTTTAAGATAAAAATCTGATACTGTTGTGGGTCTCATACTTTGGCCACAACAACACTGCAAGGAAGGATCCGCTGAGATAAACGATGATTATCTCAAAGTCGCCTGCTGGCAGGAGAGCGGAACTTGGATCTCTGCAGAATGACCTTGGTGCTGAAATCTGGAAGCAGGCAAGCTGATGCTGTCCGGATGATTTTGGACTCTTAACGCATGGTGCCCCTGACTTTTGGCTGTCCTGGCAGAAGCTGGAGGGAATAGTTCTAACCATTAGGCCACAAATACTCTGTTAGCTCCTAATGTCCAACATTTTAGAAGAAGTGCAGGGTGCAGTGCAACAGCTACACAAGATAAACTGATCCAGGTTCTCCTGCATGACCTTCCTGTCAGATTCTGTGCCACATTCAAAGTACTAATATTAACCCATCAGTTCCTTGACGATTTGGGAGTTCGCTACCTGTTGCAGTGTCTTTCCTTAAGATCCTTTACTTGGTCCACCTTGTTGTGGGTGGCCGCCCCAAGGGAGACCCAGAAAATGATAACCAGGAGTGAGCAGGGCCTTTTCACTGGTGGCCATAACATGTACGTATGCCAGGTTGCCTCCCTCCTGCCCTTCAGGGAATGTGTTAAAACAGTGCTCTTCAAGGCAGCCTTTAAGAATGCCCTCTCTCTATGATAGACCCTTATGTTTTGTCTGATTTCGCTTGAGAGGGTCTTTTTGTCATTATTATGGTTTGTCCATTTAGGGTGATGGGCGCATGGGGTGTTTGAACTGTTGTCAACTGCCCAGAGTAGTGGCTTGCCACAAGAGGAGTGGCATATAAGTGCAATAAATAAATAAATAACAACCCAGGGACACAACAAGTGAAGATCAGACCAAAGGCGGATCCATCTAATTCAACACCCTAAATGCAAAAGTGCCTCCCCCCCGAGGTCTATGGAGGAGACCCCCAAGGAGGGTTTGAGGTGGGAGCACAGTATCTTCCTTGTTTCCTGGGAACGGATGTCCAGAAGAATGATAAATAACCATTCACTGTCTTATTTTCCAAGAATTTATCTTAACTCACTGGCAGCTGGGGGTGCTGACGTGTTATGTTGAAAAGGAAGTCTATTGTTCCTTGATACCCATGTGATCGCTAACCAAATAGAGAAGTTGAGAAACCATCACAAAGCAATGGAAGAATTCACTTCCCTTTTCCAGTGGATCAGTATAATTATTAATTTTCGTTTCCTCTTCACCTCCACCCTGCAACAGAACTTACCCTCGTCCACATGAATATTTGGATATCTCGGAACTTCCCAAGAGCTGGGACTGGCGAAATATCAATGGGGCCAATTATGTGAGTGCCACTCGCAACCAGCACATCCCACGGTATTGTGGGTCTTGCTGGGCTCACGGGAGCACCAGTGCGCTAGCAGGTACGTGGTTGTGGTTGCGCAGTTCTCATTGCCAACCCATGCTTGTCCCCATATCTACGAGAGGTATCCTGAGTGGGAGTATGGAAGTTACACTTCCTAGCTACTGTAGCTCACAGTCATTAATACCCAAGACCAACTCAAGAAATGTTGCTTCCCTAGTCAGAATGCTATATCGTATTTATTTATTGTACATTTATCTTGCACTTCTTCTGATCAGCCCATGCAGCCAGATCTTCCCCTGCATTTTATCAAAATAACCCTGTGAGGCAGGTCAAGGTGAAAAAGTCTGAATGATCCAATTGAGCTTCATGGTTCTTAAGGGAATTTGAACCCAGATTCTCCTGTGTCCAATGTCTTTAACCACTATATTTCAGAGCGTGGCACACTATTTCGGCCAGAGTTTGGGAAAGCTGCCTTTTTTGGACCGTAACTGAAATAATCTCCCCAGTTTTCATAGCCAGTGGTCATGCTGGCTGGAGAATTGCGGTAGCTGTAATCCCAAAAAGTAACTTTTACAAGTTGTAGCTTGAGGACGGAAAGCAGGAGATTCTACAATATCTCTCCCCATCCTGGATAGTGAAAATATGACAATAACAAATTAAATAATCCATAACATGCTGCATTTAAATAGCAACCAGCTTATTCAGCGGTCAAGCTTACTTTGCTAACAGTTCTGTTCTCAGTGCTTGGATCATAGGTTGTGCCACAGATTAAGCACCTCCCATCTTAAATTTCACCCTAATCCCCTTTGAACCATAGCCCCGCTATTCCCCCACACTTTCCAAAGCTCCCCCAATTTTCAGGAGCAGATTTGTAAGCAACGGAGGGAGGCGGAGAGGGAATAGACGAGAGGGCAAAAAGAAAAAGTCTGTGTTTTGTGAGATCTGCTCTGTGTATGGCTTCCTGGGTACAGTACAACCTTTAACAGATGCATACCACACTGCAGTAATTTGTTGCAGTACCCATGTGTTCTGTTAAATTCCTCACCTAAGGGAGCCCCGTGGCAAAATGGTCTCTGAAAGGCAGACTACTGAAAACCCCAATTTATGTCCTATACAAATTACTGACTATCTTTTGTCTCTCAGATCGCATCAACATCAAAAGGAAAGGTGCCTGGCCCTCAGCTTACCTTTCTGTTCAACATGTAATCGACTGTGCTGAGGCTGGAACATGTCACGGTGGGGACCACCTCTCTGTGTGGGAGTATGCCCATAACCATGGCATTCCAGATGAGACCTGCAACAACTATCAAGCTAAAGATCAAAGTGAGAAGATGGGGAAAACACTGTGTTCATGTCTGCCTGCCTGCCTGAGCTTAGAAATGTTACTCGATTGCTGGGGAATACTGAGAGCTATACTCCAAAATTTACATTTCCAAACGGTGTTATCTATCATACAGTCCTATTGGGGATGGGGTGGGTGGGGGGAAGCTAGATAAAAATAAAAATTTTAAAAAGTGGATGGGGAGTACTTCACCTTCAGAAGCCTACCTTGGACATAATTTCCTTCTAATAGAATACCAGCAAGAAATGAAACAAAATAAAGATAAAAAGACAAAGATATTGTGGCACCTTAAAGGCTGCTATATTTTAATGTGAGCTATCGTGGACTAAGTCCATTCCTTCAGACACAAAAATACTATAGGGCAATGCATTTATAAAGAGATTGTTGTAGGTTAGTTGCAAATTGTGTGAGTCCTTCTGGCATTCCACACCTAGTAAAGACTTAAGGCCTCTGATATTCAGTGCTTTTTCTTTTAAAGCCTTGTTCTGCAAACTGCAACATTGGTTAGTAGTTAAAAGAACCCCAGGCTATTGATAACAGCAGCAGAAATAATATAAGAATGCCTCATTTTGCTCACCGGGCACCTTACTTTAGCAAACAGATATATACATACACAAAGAATTTTTAAAGGCTAAAAGTGATCTTCTAGTCCCTTCTGGATTTGTTTAGAGGGACTGTATGGGCTGTGGTATATTCAGGGAAGCTGCAAATTACCCCTCAAAGCCTCCAAAGATTCTCATCCCTATCAGAGGTCATTTTTAATTTTAACATTTTGTAATCCTGTCCTAGTCTTTAGGGAAGGCTGCTTAGTTAAATGAAGAGCCTGTGTCCATTTTTGCAGGTGCAATCTCGATAAGCGCCACTGTTTCCCCAGAGGAGTTCTGATGTTCAGGGAGACTGTGTACTAGTGCCTTAGATCCTTTTAGATCACACGGGAGGCTGGTTTCCCATCCTTAAATGAAACGAGAACTGTGTGCAGAACTGAAAAATGACAAAACAATGCATTGCAGAACTGCTTTGCATGGTGTACAGCCATCGGATGAATGGCAGTTTCTGTATAAGTAAAAGATCTCTGTTGATTTTGTAGAATGTAGGAAGTTTAACCAGTGTGGAACATGTGTCACTTTTGATGAATGCCACGTGGTAAAGAACTACACCCTCTGGAAAGTAGCAGATTACGGAACTGTCAGTGGGCGAGAAAAAATGATGGCAGAAATCTATGCAAATGGACCCATCAGGTAAATAAACAACCTTTTAATGTCATGTGTGTCCCGATAATAATTTGTGGAAGCCCACGAATAAACCAGTAGCCTATCAGAGTGCTCTGATTTATATGTCATGACAAGCCAAGGTGTTACGGATCTCTTGACGTGTCATTCATAAGCTGTGATGCCTGCTGTACAGTTGCTCTTGCCTGCAATGTTGTTGTTATGTCCCACCATCAAATTGCCTCTGATTCATGGTGTTGCCATGAATGAGCGGTCGGTCTCCAAGATGTCCTTATAGCAGCACCTAAACAAGACATAGACTTCAAGTCCGGGGTTTGTTTGCTATAACTCTGAACCTGGTGGGCGCCATTGCTCTGATTTATTCCACTTCTCATGTGAAAGAAAGGCCAGGGTTGTTGTGGTTTGTTTCTCTGAATTGTTGAAAGAAAAAAACAAGCCCATTCAGTAACTCCTGCTGAATTCATACTCTAAATATGTATGATCAGCTGACATGCACCAGTATTCTGACTTGCACATAACAAGCCAAAACATTTTAGCTTGTCATGATGTTTGAATGCACTTGGTAATATAGAAAAAAAATAAGCCCAGTCCCTTTGCCCATGGAGTTTTAAGCTCTGAAACATTTATATTACACCTGATCAAGTTAATGTAATCAGAACACTATATGTATTTTCCAGTTGACCTCTACCCAGCAGAACATCTGGAGAACAAAGTCCAATGAATCAAAGCATACATTTTGGTATAAATGCAGTCTGAGTGCAATGTTGTGGCTTCAGATTATGGTCTTTGATTTGTGTGACAGCGTCCAGAGGGGCTAACCAAAGCAGGCACCTTCCCTAGCATCCTAAGTATTTTTGGTCTCTTTAATTTTTCAACAGCTGTGGAATCATGGCCACTCCAAAGCTAGATGAATACACTGGTGGACTTTATGCAGAATACAAGCTGTTGCCTATGATCAACCACATAGTCTCTGTCGCCGGCTGGGGAGTGGAAAATGGAACAGAATACTGGATTGTCCGGAACTCCTGGGGCGAGCCGTGGGTAAGGCAGACAGAAAAAACCAAAAATACGATTTGTATGTGGTTCATTGGGGATGGAGTTGGGTGAGAAGATTTCATTGTATGCTGTAGAGATGGTGGTAAATTGCTAAGTGGAAATGTGCATCCTTCCCCCCTCCCCACCACCAGGAGAGTCCATAAATGCAAGGAGCTGGGTCCCTCTGTAGTAAAAAACATAGGGAATGGGTCTTTTGTAAAGTTAATGGCCCTTAATTGCCCATTGAAAACTAAACCACTCTAAAATGCATTACATTTTGGCATGAATCTCTTGGGATCACATGCTTTTGGTGAGAAAATCAATTCCTGTCCCAGCTGCTGTGAGCAGCAAAGCTCTGAGGAGACAAGGAAATGGGGGTGGGGGTGTGATGTCACAGTCTCTGCTCCTGAGAAACTCGCAGGGCTTCACCCTGTCCTGGCTGTATCACACCACTAGGCTTTAACAGGCCTTGGCAACATTTGATAATCACAGGAATAACCAGTATAATGAGCTGATTCAAGTTGGGGAAAGGGTTTGTATAGGTTTTGATCTACATCTGGGGCTTTATCTTAGTTTAAAGGAGGGGACACAGAAGACTCACACAATTTGGGACCCCCATAGTGGATGCCACCCTGCCTTCACCTTCCAGTCACCTATGGCTGCTCCCATGGTTTTGTTGTTGGGAAGCGAAGCAAAACAGGGCCATTCACCAAACCCCTGTATTGGGTTGGAATTTGGCTTGGAGGCTGGCATAGGTTGTGTTTGGATTCAGACTGATCAGAGTGGACAAAATGCCAAATGACTGTGTCTGTAGCATGAAGAAGCATTACGTATGCATATAATGGAAGGCTCCGAAACTAGGAGGAGGATGTGTATGACCAGCCCAGAAAAGGGCCTAGATAGCATTTTTTGGGGGTGTGTGTGGAGGAACTGCACCTCTAGGAAATAAATAGTTATTTGGTCACATGTAGAGATGGGTATGAATCGCAGGTTAGGTGATTAGTGCTGGTTTGTGTGACCTCCTCTGGTAGGCGCCCACATGGACGCAACACCCTGGCTTCCCTGCCTTGCCTCCCCAACTCCAGGCACTGCCTCTGAGGGGGGCATTATCAGCCGGGAAGCGCAGAACATCTGTTCAGCTGAGAAACAAACCAGCGCAAACCACCAAACCAATGGATCGTGCCCACCTCTCTCTATAAGCCTCTATATTATTCCATCCCCTGTATACAAACATCTTAACCTTCTCGGGACGGACACAGGAGAGCCTTCTCTCCCCCCCCCCCCCGGTGTGCACACAGTCCCTCCTGAATCTATATGTATTTTCCAGGCTTCTCTGTAATAAGGAAAAGTACATGGATTTGGAGCTCCTTGTGATGTGCTCAGACTAATGCAGACTAACACCTTTCAGGGAGAGCGTGGCTGGCTTAGGATCGTGACGAGTGCCTACAAAGGAGGAAGAGGACGGGAGTACAACTTGGCTCTGGAACAGGACTGTGCTTACGGAGACCCCATCGTTCCTTAAGTCCATTGCTGGGCTTCATTTCCGCTTCTGGAAAGAGGACAGGTAGTTCTTCAGCACTGTACACGCAAGAGGACATATTAGCACGGATAGGTCCCCTTGTGTTGGTCCCTTTTTGAGTTCACAACTGTATGCAGAATCCTCCGTGAGGGATGGCTATTAGCTGCAGAAAGAGGGCAAGACTAGACACTGATTTTCCACTTAGGAACTTTTGCTTTCATCAGTTGTGATAGAGTGTACGCAAAAACTGAGAGCCCAGTGTGGTGGTGTGATTACTTGTCGACAAGGACTCAGGAGACATGGGTTCAGATCCCACTGCGTGGTCGTAATGATGATAAAGTGGGAAATACCTTGAGCTCACTGGACGAAATGTAGGATACAAATGTAATAATAAATAAACACATCGACTCCAAACTAGTGTACATTGTCAGATTAAACATGACTCTGAAACTCCTTGAAACACCTTAATGGTGTGGTGTTACATTATAGGTGGTACATTGCCATTCCTAACGGGCTCTGGCACATTTGAAGGGGGGGGGCACCGATAGACACCTTTTCCGTTTGACTCTTCATGTTGTGTCCTTGTTTTAACGGGGGACCCTGGAACCTTAGAAGAGTTCTTAAAATGGCCATGGCCAAAAAAAAAAAAAAGAGGTTGAGAATCGCTGACTTAAATCATGTTGCCTCAGATTTGTGGGGTGGGTGAGTGGATTAGTGTGTGGAAAGCTAGCTCAGTAGCTCAGTGAGTTGGGTGGCTGGCTGTGGAGCAAGAGTTTGGATGTTGGATTCCCTGCTGTGTTTCCCTATGAGAACAGCCAGATTGTGTAAACTTGGGCAAAGCTACACAGTGCCAGAGCACCCTCAGAAGAATGAACCAGTAAAACCACTTTTCAGTGTTCTTTAACTGGAAAACCCTGGAAAGGACTGCTGTAAAAGAGAGAATCAACAGAATGTAATCCATATCATTAGTGTTTCGGAGGTCAGACGTGGAACTTAATAGAGAAACGGAGCTTGTTATATCTAATGGTTGTTGTGGGTTTTTCAGGCTCTTTGGTCGTGTTCTGAAGGTTGTTCTTCCTAACATTTTGCCAGTATCTGTGGCCGGCATCTTCAGAGGACAGCACTCTGTGTTACAGTGGTGCCTCGCTAGACAGTTACCCTGCATGACAGTTTTTTCGCTAGACATTGGCTTTTTGGGATCACTATAGCGATTCGCAAAACAGTGATTCTTATGGGGGAATTTCACTGGACAATGTTTGGTCCCTGTTTTGCAAATCGATGTTTGCTATACAGCAATTTTGGCAGCTCCCTCCGCGCTCACAAACAGGTGTTTTCGGGACCCAAGCTTCGCAAGATAGCTATTTAAACAGCTGATCGGCAGTTCACAAAGCGGCTTTCATATGGCCAATCTTCACTCGATAACAACGATTCTTCCCCATTGGAACGCATTAAACAGGTTTCAATGCATTCCAATGGGGAAATGCTTGTCGCTAGACAATGATTTCACTAAACAGCGATTTCAGTGGAACGGATTATCATCGTCTAGCGAGGCACCACTTATCTCTTTTCTTTCTCTCCGTTCTCTCTGAGTTGTGCCTCTCAGTTGGCCTTTCTTACAGAATGAGAAAGAAAATGAGGAAGAAGTTGCTACAAAATGAGGACAGGCAAAACTTTAGAGAGGAAGATGCTATGAATGGGGCCACATGAAGCCAGTCTGCCTCCTTGACTTTCAGCTTCCCATCTTGACCTTAATCCTTCTCTTAGAGATTCTCAGAATGAGGCTAAAACCCTCACACTTTGGATCAGACTCTGAGATCTGGTTGTTCAATTTGCGTGCACAGTTTCGGCACCTTGGAGATCCAAAGTCCAAGCAAATCCCACAAAAGCTTGTTAATTCTACATATATAACAACAGTCAGTTTTGAACATAGGGTGCTGCACGAGTCAGGTTTCTATTATGCTCACATGTAAGTTGTGTCTATGTCCCATGGAAATCAATTGAGCAGAGTGGTTTAAAATCAAATGAGAGTGAAAATCGGGGTGAAATGATTTGTTAGCACATCTGCTTGGGACTTATTTTTCTGTATACGTTTGGAACCTGCTTTTTCATGCTGAGAAGGAAAGCTTTTCAAAAATATTAATGACAGGGACAAAACGAATCTAGTGCTAGGAGAACCTTTTCCTTCTAAAGTTTTGGCCTTGAAAGTAGCACCAAATATCACGTAAAAAGGAGTAGAGCATGAGTAGACCTTAAGAACAGATGTACAGTATAGATGTATCCAGAGGTGAAAGAGATGAAGCCAAAGCTTTCAGAAAGCGAACTTTATTGAGAAAGTAAAATTAGAAGGCAAATACATATCTTTTTTAAAATAATGGGCCAAAACACATTGGGGGAGTGAGAAAAGGGATCCTTTGCATTGGGGTAAACCCGAGGGGAGCAGAGTATTATCAGGACAAGAGTGGAAAAGCAGACAGCCAAGCCAAGGCTTCCAAATGCAGATCAGGCGGAAGAGCTACCCTACTCAACTGGCAAGATTTTTGAAAAGAGTCCAGGAAAAGAGGGGAACTGTAGGTGCGTGGCTAGGGTCTTTGGGCAAAAGGAGAGGGAAGGCAATGGAGCTCAGTGATAGAGTGCCCATGTGTTGCACCTGGAAGCTCCTATTACCAGTCTTCAGGTGGGGCTTTAAAGCAGTGGTCCCCAGCCTTGGGCCTCCAGATGTTCTTGAACTTCAGCTCCCAGAAATCCTGGCCAGCAGAGGTGGTGGTGAAGGCTTCTGGGAGTTGTAGTCCAAGAACATGTGGCGGCCCAAGGTTGGAGACCACTGCTTTAAAGGACCATCATCTGAAACCGACAGGCGGCCCAAGGTTGGGCACCACTGCTTTAAAAGACCATCATCTGAAACCGACAGAACTACTGCTGGTCAGTGCAGCCAGTCTTAGGCTGGATGATCAAACGCCCTGGTCCAGTTCCTGTGGGTGAAAGAGAGTGTGTCTGCGGGCAAAGGGAATGGCAGCCAAGACTCTTTCAAACGCACAAGGTCAAAACACAGAAGAGCACTTCACATAGGCATCCTTCAGTCTCGAGAGGCGATGATAACATGCTCTGTATCGAGAAGTGTCCTCTCCAGAGCATGAAGCCTGGGTAAAGTAGTATGGAGGATAGGCTGTTACCCAAGCAGCAAATCCCCCCTCTCCACTTTGCTGAAATGAGCCAATACAACTGGTTCCAGCAACGTCGCAGGAGTTGGCAGAACGGCATGAACTGCCTTCTGGACTCTGGATTTTGCTCTAGGTTAACTCCTGAAGCCTTTTCCATGAGTTGATATAGCCACAAGGCAGTGGAGGTTTGAAATTGGAGTTTTCCTTCTCCTAGATGGGCTGCCTTCCATGGCTGACAACCCCCACCTACCCGGTCTGCTCTCTTAATAGTGCAGAAGTATGATCCGTCCCTTAAAACTTTCCTGCCTCCCAGGTGTATGCAATGCTAATTGGCTATCCTATTTGCCATATTAGGGTCAGAGATAGAGTCAGAGAATTTGAGGTCCTGGCACACCCTCATTTAAGGAGGGAAAGCCCCACTTCCTAGGCCATGCGGTGTGTGGGGGGAAACAAAAGAAAGAGCACTTATTGTCTTCGAAAATCCAAATATTGGGAAGATTCCCAGATTAAACAAAAGGAGAAGTTGGCTGTGCTTTTCTGAATACTGGGCTCCTGCATTCCAGATTGTGTTTTAGTAATCATCTGAAGGCTACTCAATAGCTTTAAGCTTTTGAGTAGAGAGTGTGCATGTGACTGCATTAAGATAAATGGAATTTATGGGTTGTCTTTCAACTTTCAAAGAGCATAGAGGTTGTCTCTTGTATATTATCAATATGGGCAAAGATAGAGTGGTATCTTGTCTATATCCGTAGAGGGTAGTGGTGATTCATCCTGCAAACACAGGGTCAGCTGTCCTTAATAACTAACTCTACAGAGAAGATTGAGAATGTATGAGCTGAAGTGATAAGAGGGACCAACGGAAAGACAAGGTGGTGCTTTCTCTCTTACTTGTGGCAGATTCTCCCTGAAAGTTCCAGCTTGCTGGAGTCACATGTCTCAGGTCAATGCTTTTGAAGGGAAGCTGTGCTAAGACTGCCATTATTGTTGGAAGCCATGACCGTAGACCCTTGCCTCCTAAATCCATTCACATAAACAGTCAAACTGGAAAATCAGCATTAAGGGCAATGCTGCATCTTCTGGGATTAAGAGCTAAGTGGCTTACTGTGTCAAGGCAATAAGGCAGCACAGCTCTGGATGTTGTTAAACTGCAGCTCCCATCATATTGCGTATGCTGCATATTGTTTATGCTGTCTAAGGCTGATAGGATTTGTAGTCCAGCCTCTGGAGGATAATGCATTTCTCAAGTCTCTAGCACAACAATCTGTTCCCTGCTGATTGCAACACTCTCACATGCTAGAGAGGCATACGGAATGATACAGCGATTTGCAGGAGAACGAAAGAGCTGCAGAATCCAATTTGCCAGGCACTTTGGGTTACGTTTGTTCAAGAAGCACCGGTTTCTAAACCAGATGCTGCTTGTTCAGTCATTATTTCCCCATATGCCAGTTTATAGCGTCCCATGAATGTAAAGGGGCCAGATCAGCAACATGTTCATATCCAAAATAATAGGCCCTTTTGATTTCAGAGCGGCACAGCAGGCAAGGAGTCCAGAACTGTGGGCTAATTGTAGGTAAAGGGAACCTAAGTCTTTAGATTTTAGAATTGGGATTAAAAATCAGCTAATCAAATAAAACGGCAATGGAAAGCTTGCAGGGGGAGGAAATATCTTTTCTCAGTGACTACAAATGCACCCAGCAGCTATGGTGGTTGCTACAGTTCTTACTACCCCATTTCCCCGAAAACAAGACCTAACCTGAAAATAAGCCCTAGTAGGATTTTTTAGGATGATCCCAATATGAACTCTATCCCAAAAATAAGCCCCCGTTAAGTGAAACCCTGCCCTCCACCCTTGTGCAGCAACCAGCAGAAGAGGACAGGACTGTATTTGAATAAATGTAGATTGTTGTGCATGAAAAAAAAAACTTCCCCTGAAAATAAGCCCTAATGCATTTGGGGGAGCAAAAATTAATATATGACCCTGTCGTCTTTTGGGGGAAACACGGTAAGTCCCACATTCCATGCAGCCTTCTCTGGGTGCCACAGGAAGGCTGTTGATGCTGAACGTCTAGATAAAACAATACTGTACAATGAAACAAAAACACGAAAAGCACGGGGGCAAACTTAAGGACTAACTGTTATAGTTTCGTGTAAGTTTTTGTGGACACACCTACTTCTTCAGACTTGTTTGGGGTGGGGTGGAGGAAGGCAAGTCCTGCATTGCTGCTGTTAGGGCTTGTCCTTCAAGGTTCAGACTGGTGCGCCACTCCCTGCCTTGCTCC